AATTAGACAAACTTTCGTTAACGATAATAAAGGAATGATATGAATGCACAAAAGAAAAGCGTAAGTAAAGGGTTAGAGGGGACACGAGATTTTATAGTGGTTCAGCCAATGTTGCCTACTCCACTCTTCTTCCACAACTGTTGGAAGGATTGCACTATCACTCTTAGTACAAGTACACAAAGACTTCCTTGATCACTAAGCCGGACAGCCTTCGTAGGTTTTTCAACTCCTCGAGTTTACTCCGCCTCTATCAACTTCTTCTCCTGAGTTGAGGTTGGTAGAAAATGATTTCTTGAATTCTCCAACGATGAGGTCTTGACTCTGAGATATGATTGCTTCAAACAGATGTCAAGACTTCCTTGAGGTGTAAGACAAATGATTTTTCAAGTAACTTAGCACCTCAAAACTGGTTCACAAAAGCTTTTAGTAAATTGTAGACTTTTCAAGAGCTTTTGTAAGTGAGTAAGTTGAGTGATAATGAACCAGCACCTTCTTAGCTGATGAAGGTGGGTTTTTATAGGTGATGAAAATTCATCCGTTGGAGGGAGATGAAATTTTCAAACCCTTTAACCATTGGACAAGGACCGGGGAGCTTCATGCATTAAATGCTTCATTAATGAGGTTGTACCATGTAGCCGTTGAAGATATGGGAAGCATTAGGATTTGTCCTTTAGCTCCAGAAGATGGTACATCTTCATTTAATGCTTTTGAAAATTATGTCCCATAAGATGAAGTCCTTATTGTCCTAGGATGTTGTCAAATCAGACAGGTGGAACATTCTTCTCGTTGTTGAAGAGAAGTAATGCTTGATAAAGATCGTCTTTAACAAAAACTGTCCTTTCGTGCTTGTTGACAACTCCTGCTTGACTTTCGTTGTTGTTCTTCATGTCTCGTGTCTTCTTTCGCCTTGGAGACCCTAACATCTAGTCATAACTCATTTTCGTGTGTTTGTCTAGCTTAACACGAATTACAGAAGAATTATGGCAACTCTCGTCTAGGACGAAAGCAGCGATTAAAAAGAACTAATGGTTAGGGGTCTACTTTCCTACATTACATTGGTATCATCAAAATCCTAATACAATGTTCCTAACAATGAACAAATACTACATTGTAATAGAGTCAGTTGCATTCAAAAAAAAAAAAAAAAAAAAAAAAAAACACAATCAATCCAAATTTTGTGAACCAAATTCCAAGAAAGAAACTTTTCAGTTTGGAGTTTAGTAATAATTGACACATAAATATATTAATTGTACAAACCACATATAATCATTCTCTACGTAAAATACACAAATTCGAATAAGGATATTTAATTTACTGTAAGAAATTAAATGTTTAAATATGTACAGTTTCAAGTGCTCTTATAAGAAATATGTTAAATGATTTTATTTTATTTTTGTTTCAATTTCAACTACTATTTAAAACATTTTGAAAGCTATAAATATTATTAAATTTAAAAAATCCTCAGTTATATAATGAATGTTTGTGCGAAGGTTGTGTTAGTATTGTAATGTCAGTTTATTTCAACTTGCTTCATTTTGAAGTAAAACTTAAATTATAACTTTTGAAATGCATTTTTAGGTTCTAATACTTACAACTACTAAAATGCATTTATGTCTTCATTTTTGGGTTCTAATCCTCCACTTGTAAAGCAGCATTTCGATTACGTAGAAGTGAAAGAGGTGAAATTTGACATTGTCACAAGAGTAAAACACAAGCTCTGATCTTTGTGGTCAAGGGATTTTTTGTTCATTTCCTGATTGCACAAGCAAGTACAATAATATATATAATGTTTCTTTCTACATTTTCCTAGCTTCATCAACTCTACCTTTCATGTTTCATCCTATACTCGCTTATTAGATGTACCTATATATGCTGCACTTGTTTTCTCCCCAGCTAATTGTAGTGTTTTGCCTAAATATGTTGTAGGACTGTGGAGAATATAATTAATACTCTCTTGTGATTGTTTTGGTACTATAATTGATGCTGAAAGTCTTGTTTATTTGTTTCTTTGTTATAAGGTATGAAGAAATGACATTTAGCTAAGTATACTGTTGAGCATATTGTGGAGGTACTGTCTTGGAACTTGAAAGTCTTGAGAACTTGTCTGTCATGTAAGTATATTGTTCTAGTGCCTGTTTGTTTTCTTGTTTTCTTGTACTAACATGAGATAATAACAGAATTTGATTTGATTGGAGTAATAAATATTTCTTCACATAACACTTGAAACATGATGTATTTGATTACCAAGACTATGTGGTCTAATGGTACTCGGGTTGGACTTCCATTTGGAAGGTTGTAAGTTCAAGCCTCAGTGGAGGTGTTATTGGTTTTTTGTGTTTTAGTAGGTTGAGAAAGTATATGATTTGTAGAATTCTTTAATATGAGAATAGAGTAGTGAGCACTCAGCAGTTGCACTGTCACATTTTTTGGTTGTGCAGATTTGGATGAGTTTTTTTCAGTCAATAGTAAGTTCATATCTAACTATCTAAGCATCTTATTATGCACTTACTATGTTTAGACTTTCCACCTTATTTGTTCTTTCCCCCGTCTTATAGTGTATCTATTATGTTCTAAAGACAAATAACTTGTTTGCTTAGCTTCGTTTTCAGTTTCTTCTTACTCTTATTGGATATGGTTCTCTCATACTTTGCTCATGTTCGGGTTCTTGCTTTAGATTAAATTGCTTCACCTTAGTGCAGTCTCTACACTGGGTTGCACTTGTAATCTAAATATATATACATGTTTCTATTATTATTATTATTATTATTATTATTATTATTTTTTTTTTTTTTTGTAGATGACGGAGAAAAAAGGTGAGTGGTTGAAGAACAAGGCACAAATTCTTGAGATTAAATGCTGATGAAGATTGAAGTACTTTGTATTTTTATATATATTTTTTATGTATGACAATAGTGCATTGCTTAAATATTTATAGATCGGACACGTATCTTTTTGTTGAAAATAATTTTGATATTTAAATATATTTTCATTTTGAGTTTAGATAGTGTGTACATTATTTTGTAAATGATATAGAATATATTGACAACAGATAAAACAAAATTATAGCAAGATCAAAATAATAAAAACAATTTATATAAATATATATTTTCCTGCCAACAGTTGGAAGGAAATCAACATAATGCACTAGGGGGATTTCCGACCAACATGTGGTAGGTATTTTTGTCCAACGGGTCAAAGTTGGATGGAAATTCCCATTCTAAAAATGGTAGGTTACCATCCGGAATTTCCGTCCAACTTCGACCCGTTAGACGGAATTTCCGTCCAACATCTGATGTTAAACGAAATTATCGGTGTTCATTCTTTTAAGTCCTCGTTTTGGTCGAAATGTTGGCCGGAAATCCATTTTCCGACCAATAACACTCATTTTAGTTGGACGGAAATTGTGTGATTTCCCGCAGTGTATATATATAGCCTTCTCTCATGCGAACCACTGGCAGTTTTGGATCATTGAATGAGCTCAAATTAATGGTTGAAAATCAATGAAAAGGAAAAACTTTTCGAGCAGATAGAATAGGACATTGCAGGGAGATGGGACGATAACCGTAGGAGAATTTGATTGTTTTCTCTGTGTTTTTTTTTTTTTCAGTAATAGGATTGGCCAGCGACCTATTTTACCTAGTCCAGGTTTGATGAAATTGAAAATTCCAAAATTCACTGAGGATATGCAGAGCAATCATGCATGTTGATAACATGTTGTGAATGTAGGCCTATTTTCGTCTGAATTGTCGCATGGTACCAATAATAGTAGGAAAGCAATAGATAGGAAAAGCAAAGAGAAAGATAAATATAAAAGAACAACAAGTTTACTCAGAAACCCCAAAACTCCATTTTCATTAGATCACTGCCAAATACAGATATGAGTAAACAGAATGATCCTGGAAAATAGGATAATGGCCATAAAATATATATTTACAACACAATATAATCATAGTACTTTTTTAATTCTACCCTTATATGGTTTTAGTTTTCCCTCTCAAGCTTGTTAAGTTGTTAACACTATAACGGCATGGAGTTGCAGGAAATTGTTTTATCATTGAGGTGCAACTAACGAGTAGTTAACGTATTTGTTTGAATTTGTAGTAAGGAATTCGTTTCACCATTGTCCTGATGGCTACCATGAATCCATAAATCCTCAGTCTTCTAAATGCGTTAGTTCCACACCATTTCAAAACCTTAAAATTTCAGTCAAAAACTATAAATAAACTGGACCCGGCCAAATCGATAGCTTTGTGCTGCTTCAAGGTTTTGGGTGATTTAATGGCTTAAACTTCAAGTAAAAAGAATTTGATTTTGATTCTTTTCAAGTGATTTTTATGTTCGAGCTTAAAAAAATTGAGAAATCTTAATTCACAAAGTTTGACTATTAAATAATTTTGTAAAAATTTCCTAGGCACCAAGTTGGGCGTCTAACTCTGCCTCTCTAGTTGGCGCCAACTAGGCTAAATCGGTGCCCAACTTAACGGTCGGAGTGGTATTTTTTGACTGCTCGGTTGCTTTTCTTCTATAATCCTTTAGTCATGCACTCAACTAACCATCTAACACTAGTTTGTAGGATTATAATAATCTAACAACTCAAATCCCTAAGTGAAAAAAGTGGAGAGGATATACTCGAATTACTCGACCGTCTAGGCGCTAGGCTTCCATGAACGTCCGATTAGCGCCTAGCGTTTTCTGCAACATTGCTATCAAATGAATCAAAATTTTGTATAATTATAGAATAATGATGATTAAAAAATTAAAGGAAAAAAAATTGCTTGGGCGCAACATCAGTTAGAAGGTAGGAGAAAATAAGAAAAGTACTATTTAACTTAACAAGCAAAGGCGTTAGATATACTAAGAACATCACAACATGTGACAACCTTGGCTTCTAGAATGTAAATACAAAACAAAATTAAGCTATCTTCTCAATTATTTTCAAAAAAAAAAAGAAGCTATCTTCTCAATTTTGGGACAGTTAACTGTGCTTTCTTCTTGCTCCTTCACTGCTGCTGCTTCTTCTTTTTCTGCTTTACGAGCCACTTAATAATCCATTCGGCCAAGAATGCAAAACCGATTGTTAATCCAACAACCAATCCAAACCCACACCCAGCAACTGCAAACCTCCAATCAAACATGGCTTCTTCACTTTCCAAGCTCTCATCATCTTTTGCTACTGGTGCGCCATCTCCATTGCATTTCCTTGAGAGTGGGATTCCACACAATCCTGTATTTCCAATGTAGGAACTATTCGTGAAAGTATTGAATTGGTTACCCAAAGGAATGGGACCGGCTAGTTGGTTGTAAGACATGTTCAATACTGCTAGGAATGTTAGACTGGTAAGTTGTGGAGGAATTGTTCCTGAGAATTTATTCTTTGAGAAATCTAAAGATTCAAGTTCAGATAACTCTCCCAATGATATTGGAATTTGCCCATCAAAAACATTTTGTGACAGGTTGAGCACAACCAATGATTTTAGTTCACCAATCTCTTTCGGAACATTGCCATGGAACTTGTTGTTTGACAGATCCAATGACACAAATATTGTCAATATCTTAACCAGCACCATCTCATTTCCTTTGTTCATGATGGTCACTGAATCATGATAGTATTCATCATGCTCTCCAATGAGGCTAGATAGTGATTTGTGTTCCTCACCCATAGCCATTGCACTCAAGCTCTGTAGGAAATATATAGACAACTCCCCAGTGAAATTATTGGAGGACAAATCAATTATGCATAAACTTGGTAGCACAAACTCTGTCTTAGGAATCTCCACCTGACCATAAAACATGTTGTTTCGTAAGATAAGAACTTTGAGTGAAGGGAGTTTTTCCAACCAAAATGGAAAAGTATCACATATCATATTGTTTCCTAAATCAAGAATCTCTAGCATTTTGCAGTTGGCTAGTGATCTTGGCAACTTCCCTTTCAATCGATTGCCATTTATATTTAGAGAGCGAAGATTATTATAGGCAAATGTAAAAGTAGAAGGCATTTGATCGTATCTGTTTCCTTTCAAGTTCAAAACTGATAGACTTGTCAGGTTGACGTGACACTCCGGGATCAAACCACTCAAATTATTATCTGATGCGTCAAGAACTCGCAGGTAGCTCATATTGCATATTCCGGATGGAAGAGATCCTTTGATACGATTTCCATGAAGATAAAGAGCAAAAACATTTAAAGAAATATTTGAGGGAAATTCATTCAGAGCAGAAAAAAAATTGTGAGAAATATTCACAAATTGAAGTTCATTCTTCCATATCCAGCTTGGTATTTCACCTTCTATCTTGTTATCAGAAAGGTCAAGATACTCTAAAGCATTGAGGACTTTCAAGATCTCTGGGAGCTTAGAAATATTGCAAGAATGCATCGCTAAAGCGTATAGCGATGTGAAGGAACTATTTCCCATGGCTGATGGTTCAAGAAATTTTAATGGATTTCCAGAAAGGTCCAAAGTCCTGAGAGTGTTGTTCCCCAGCCAACTGGGAACATAACCACGGATGTGATTATCTTTAACACTAAGACTTCTAAGTTTTACTTGGCTCTTTAGGAAAATCGGGAAGTCAGATAAATTGCACTTGTCTAGACCCAAAAACCCCAACTGAGGCAAGTGAAAGCTTCTATCATCATCATCATCATTTTCTTCAACTGTCAAGCTATTGCTAGATAAATCTAAAGATATCAAGTTCTTGAGATTTTGCAACATTTTAATTTTCACACTACCATTAAAATTGTTAGAGGCTAATGATAGATGAATGAGGTTAGGAAGTTCAAAGATTGATGTAGGTACCACCCCACTCAATTGATTGCCACTCAAATACAATTGCTCTAAAATAGAGGAAGATGTATTAGAGAACTCCTCAAGTTCACCACTGAATTTGTTATCATTGAGGTACAAGATTTTCAGAGATGGTAGCATGAAAAGAGACGAGTGAATTCCACCCGTGAGAGGATTGGATGACATGTCAAGGTACGAGAGATTTGGTACACTTGTACTATGAAATGAGGGTAAAGAACCAGTGAACCTGTTTTCACTAATGTCCAACTTAATAATACTTGAGAGGTTTGCTAGTGAAGATGGGATTAAACCCCACATATTACAGCTGAAAATATTTAAAATTTCCAGTGACTGAAGATTTCCAATGGACTCAGGTAATTCTCCATGAAAATTTGTTTTAGAAAGTGAAATGGTTTGCAAAGAGCTGTGTTTTGAAAACTCTGGAAACTGGCCACTCAGAAGGTGATTATAGGAGATGTCAATGGTTTTCAATTTTGGATGGAGAAAGACATTTTCTGGGAAATCTGAAGACAGATTGTTATAGCTAAGCTGCAAATAAGACAGAGATTTTAGCGTTGCAACTGAAGGGTGGATTGGACCATTGAGATCACAGTAGGAAAAACTTAAAACTTCAAGATTAGGCAATGCAGAGGATAAGACTTGAGACCAGTTAGAGCCTTGAGCTGAGAGGTCTACACCATCAAGATACACCTCTTTTAAAGAAGTTAGATTCATAAAAAAAGATTCAAGGTTTGGTTTTCTTAACTCTACAGAAGTCAACATTGAGGAAAGATCAAGAGACACCAACCTCGTCAGCCTCGAAATCCCCACAGGAATCTGACCAAAGAAAGAGGTTTGCGAAAGGTTAAGGTGCGTCAAATTCCTGAGTTTCTCTAGTCCGGACGAAAATGGAGTGTAGTTGAAATCGTTCCAAGCAAGATTGAGAGTTTGAAGATGGTGAAGATTGAAAATGGGAAAAATTTCACCGGACAGCATACTGAAACTGAGGTTGAGTCCGATGACATAACCGGTTGCAGCATCACACGAAACTCCATCCCAACTACAGCAATCCTCCTCCATATTCCATTCCATCACCTTCATTGAAGAATCCCCTTCGCATGAATAAATTGACGACTCTACCGTTGAATTAAGGTTGAGAGCTCTGAGCTGTGACAGTGCTAACCATTGGCTGTGTACACATTTTTGAGTTGTAGTACTGCTTGACGACATCAACATGGAAGAAGATACAACCACAATATTACTGGGCAACACAATAAATACAAATATGAGAATTGTCTTTAAAGCATGTAAAGTGGTCTCATTTTGTGTTTTATGTTTTTCTTGACAAAATGCTTATTTTTGAACGGAGCAAATATCTAATGTGCATGCACGTTGGAGAATTAATAGGAGAAATGCTTATTATATATAGAATGGCAAAATATATGACATAAATGGGCAGTAATCGACCGCCATTCTACTTTTTATTTTATATATTTGGTATGTAGTATATAGTCGTTTGATTAGTCTTTCAAATATATAATGTTGACTTGCTTTTTAAGTCTTTCATTCCCTTATTTTCCAACTCTTTCGTTGGAGAGTATGATAGGTACTTTCGAGATTCAGTGACCATTGTAAATAAAGGAAATGAGATGGTGTTAGGTTAAGATATTGACAATATATGTGTCTTTGAATTTGTCAAACAACTGGTTCCATGGAAATGTCCTAGAGGAGATTGGAAAACTAAAGTTGTTGGTTGTGCTCAACTTGTTTCGAAATGTTTTTGACTGGCGAATTCCAACATCATTAGGAGAGTTATCTGAACGGCAAAAATATAGTCAAACAATGTAATTTTACCGATAATTTGTTGGTTACCAGTTAATTTGACTTATTTGACCAAAAATAACATGTTTGAAGATTTAATTTCGTTTTTTAAAAGTTTAGGTGCTTAATTGACTTTTGGTATAAAGTTTAGGAGGCTATTTGACCATTTTCCCTTATTCATACTACCTACATAATATAAGGCATGTATTTAATTATCTGTTTAGTCATTTCCAAATTAAATTTGAATTGAATTATTGAAACCGTATACATTTAAACATGTTTTGTCATTTTTAGGGGACTGACTTGGGCAATAGGCACCTCAAACATCCCGCCTAAGAACAATATAATTACTGAAACTTCTTGCTCACTACAAACCAAATAGAACGTAACTACTCTGATATGATCTTTAAGAAGATGCCATTTGGAATATATATTAAGTGGCCGGCCGGCCGGAGGCAAGGAATTTGGCAAATTATTGTATGGACCATGGTCCACACAATGTTATGTGAACCATAATAAAAAGTACATTTTTAATATACTAAATGTACATTATTTTTGTACTGAGTGTACATTATACAATATAATGTATACTCAGAACAAAAATAATGTATATCCCCTGTATACAATATATATTATTTTTGTACTGAATGTACATTATTTTTGTACTGAATATACATTATTTTATAGTAGACAAAATATGGTCCACACAACTTGTGTGGACCATGATGATTGAAGGAATTTGAGACAAAAACAATACATTTTATGGATTTTGCATTAGCTATTAGTCCTACCTACTCATCTGATCTTCAATGGAATATATAAACGAAAAAAAAAAAAAAAAAAAAAAAAAAAAAAGAAAACCAAAAATGAGACAACTTTACAATCATTTCATCAAGATATACTTTTCATCTTTCTGTGTACTGTATTGCACAATAATATGATTGTCATCATCAATGGGCAATGGCGTCAACAACCTCATGACAGCAGGAGCAGAGGGCATGAAGCATCACAAAGCTAGTTTGACTAAAATGTTTTGTCATTTTTAGGGGACTGATCTTAGGCACCTCAAATATCCCGCCTGAGGATGCACTTTAGTTCTTGGTTTCACATGTTTGAATCTTTCAAACTAATATTCCCAAGTTGTCTAAAGTTGGTTTTTATGAAACTTCTTGCTCACTACAAGCCAAATAGAACTAGTCAGATCTAATCTTTAAGAATTGAAGATGCCATTTCGAATATATATATATATATATATATATATATATATATATATATATATATATATATATATATATATATAGGGAAGTGTACTTCAGATGCGGATGAAGCTTCCCGTGCGGTTGTGCGGTTGGACGCACCTTAAGCATTAATATGGCGCACCTTTGTTAAATAATCCTTTATGCGCTATAACTTGAATGCGGAAGCACAATTAACAATGATCGCATGTAAATCAAATCAATCAACTAAACAATGTTCATGATGATGGATTTTTAATTAAATAGAAAAGATAGAACTTACTTGGTTCAATTGAAGATGTAATCTCTAAATTGAATGAATCAAGAATATAATGCTTCACCTCTCTGGTCCGTATACCTTAATCACCTACTGATGATACAGAGACTAGAAAACTTAGAGATTTGAAACCGTTAAGATACCTAGAGTTTTCCTTGGCATTTATAGAAGTGATGAGAAACCCTCTTTCAAGAGGAATGAGGAACCTCCTTTAGGAATAGAAATCCCTTTAGGAATGTGACCTCCTTTTTAGGAATAGAAATCTCTTTAGGAATGTGAAACTCATAACCTTATCCATTATACATCTTTTAACCTTTATAAACTTAAATTTTAACAGAATGAAAGGGAGGGAATTTCACCCGGTAATTCCGTCTTTACAAATCACTAATCATCAACATGAGTACCTTATGAATTACAACCTTTATTATACAAATCATTGTTAGGAAATAATTATTTCTAACAGTCTCCCACTTGATTCATATAAGCATGACACCTTAATTATATGAATCAACGTTAGGAATACATTATTTCTAACAATCTCCCACTTGATTCATACATGCGTGACTTTATAATTTTCAATCCTTAATTTGAGCTCACTTAATATGAAAATGTAAAAGTCTCCACCTTATCAAACTTTATTAACCGAATCATGGCGGTTACTGGCATGACATAGCGTCCCGCTCCCTTCCATGTATCACAGTTAATAAGAATCCGAACCATAATAATAAGGTAAAATCCGAAAGTACCTTATTCCTCATGTCTTAAACAAGACCATTGTTATCACTTCTTAATTATGCATAAATAAGTGATCAACATCAACCATAACAAAATCAAAACCTGAATTGATATCTAAGAGTATCATCAACCTGATGTGCCATCAAACATGTAAGTGTACAAAATAGTACACATTAGATTGACTAATTTATTAGTTTATTTTATTAATTTGTAATGCTAATTAGTATGAGTCGTAATTAGTGTTATTGGACCAAGCTAAAATGTGTGGTGGAGATTTCATTCTAATGAGTTGGACAAAGAGTAAGTCTGAAGATCAGATCTCAAATTAAAGAATGTGTGGTTGAGAAGAATTCAAGCCACATATGAAAGCTACAATCAAGGCTTGGTGAAATGGAAATTACGTACAGTATATAAGGAAGGGAAAACGAAAGAGGAAGTTGCCAATTCTGAAATTCTGATCACATATGCAAGCTTCCTATATTACTGCTTTAATATTGAATATATTATATTTGTGATTTAATTATGTACTTCAAATCAGTACCTGTGACAGCTGAAGTGCTACACACCAAAGATGGTTATGGCATGCACGGTTCAGTCCTGAATAGGTGTTTTAGAAGAGTTGTAGTGGTAAATGCTGTGAGCCGTTTGTAGTTACCTCTTGTAATACTCTGTGGTGAACATCTAGTGGATTGGGTAGACGTGGGTTGCCCCGCAGATGTAGGAGAAGGAGCTCCGAACTGCGTAACAATTCTACTGTGTCTTTACTTTATTTATACTTTCAATTTCGTTATTTATACGTTGATTAAATTGATTTAATTAAACAACGAAATTGTCTCGCAACATAAAATCAAGTAGAATCCTTAGTGTTAAATTGATTTCAAGATACACGGGCTTTTTCAATTGGTATCAGAGCCTCCAGACTTAAGTTATTAGTCTGTCGATCTGGCTACTCCGTGCCCCTTGATCTCAATTCTTCAGCGGCTATTATTATTATTATTTCTGATTTTGTTAAATTGTTCGATCTCACGGGTTATTGAGTGTTACAGAATGGAGCACACTAAAGCTCTTCCCCAGCTAGTCGGTGACAACTATGCATATTGGAAGGTGCGAACACGTACTCATCTCAAAGCACAAGGTGAAGCAGTATGGTGTATCGTTGTAACAGGCTGGGAACATCCAACCAAAACCAGTACCAGTGAGGATGAAACTCGAGTGACGAAACCTGAAAATGAATGGACCCAAGCTGAGAAAACAAGTGCTGGACACAACGATAAGGCACTAGATATTATTTATGGGCTAATTCATGAAAGTCAATTTCCTATTGTTACAGGCCATGATTCAGCTAAAGGCGCATGGGAAGCACTAGAGGCTACCTATGAAGGCACAACGTCGGTAAAACAATCGAAACTGCAACTGGTACAGTCAGACTTCGAGGAGCTCCGGATGAATGAAGATGAAACCATCGTGACCTTTCACACTCGTGTGCAAGAGCTAGAAAATTGAGCTATGGTCCTTGGAGAACTGTTCACTCAAGAAAAGTTGGTGAAAAAAATTCTACGATCACTACCACCTCGGTTCTGGATGAAAGTTACAACGATCCAGGAACATGACAACTGGGAGAAAAAGACCGTAACACAACTAATGGGGAATCTAAGAACTTATGAGATGGAAATCTTAATAGATCACACAAAAAAACAAAAAACAGTAGCATTTACCGCTGAAGAAAATAATTGTGTACCTGACTTAGATGAAATAGGTGATGATCCAGTTGTATTTCTTACTAAACAGTTTTCTAAAATTTTGAAACAGGTATCAAAAGGTTCATGAAACAAGAATATGCAAAAGGGGGCGTCATCATCTAAAACGAGTTCTAAATCAGGATCATCAACCTTCAAGCCTTCTGGTTCACGTCCAGGACAGTCCAAAGAGAAACCCAACAGTAAAGGGATCGGATGCTATGAATGTGAGGGCTTCGGACATGTACAAGCAGAGTGCCCCACCTATCTTCGACACAAGAAATCTATGTCAGCAGTTACTTGGAGTGATGATGACTCGGACGGTGAAACAGGAGGATCTGATCCAGACGAAATTTCTGGTAATTTTGTTGCCTTTACTGCACATATGGCTGCTGGACCGTGTCATGAAGATGTTGCTGACTTAGAGGGAGGCGAGTATATCTTTGCAGAAGATTTAGAGTCAAGTGAATCATCTTTTGAAATTGAGTTTAATAAGTTGTATTCCAAATGGGCAGCACTAAGGAAAGAAAATCGTAGATTAACTAGTGAAATAGGGATTGTAACAACTGCAAAGAAAGTGTATCAAACTCAAATAGCCGATAGGGATCTGCTTCTTAAAGAGGCATTGGCCCGAGAAGAAAAACTGAAACAAGAGGTACAGACTCTGAAGCAAGAGCTAAACACCTACAAACGCCAAATCGAAATGATAGATACCACGTCTACACTTGACGAAATCCTTGAGTCTGGAAGAAAGACTTCTGCAAAATTTGATATAGGTTTCACAGGAAACAGCTCAAAGGATAAAACGGTGTTTGTCAAAGCGTCAGGCCCTGGTCAAGGAGATATTCCAGAATCTAGCACAGCGACACATCGCGTTGGTACAGTAAGATCACTCAAGCCATATTATAAATCCTATAACCCGGTATGTCATTATTGCAGGTTACGGGGTCATACCAGACCTGAATGCTACTACTTCTACAAGGATCAAAGAATCGAGAAGTTCAAACACAAGAACATCCAACCCTTTACAAGGCAAATCTGGGTGAAAAAGACAGATTATATCTCATTCGTATCTTTCCACTCTAAAAGTACAAGTCGAGAAGAAAAATGGTACTTCGATAGCGGGTGTTCACGTCACTTGACAGGAAATGCTAAATTTCTAAGTAACGTAAATACAAGCAAGGGTGAAGTTACCTTTGGCGATGGTATAAAAGGACAAGTCACTGGTATGCACGCTAAACGTAGTTGGTCTGCCAAAACTAGAGAAAGTTCTACTAGTCAAAGGACTTCATGCAAATCTTATAAGTATAAGTCAACTATGTGACCAGAACTGGAACGTGAGCTTCACCAAAAATAACTGTAGTGTCCTAGACAAAACAAATCAATGTGTTATGGAAGGTACAAGGTCAACTGATAATTGCTATATTCTCACTAATAATGTTTTGTGTTGCAGGATCAATGTAGATGAAACTGAGCTTTGGCACCAAAAGCTAGGACATCTAAGTTACAGACTTCTTGACAAACTTGTGAAGATTGAAGGTGTTCGTGGATTACCCAAGCTGAAAGTCAAACCAACCATATGTGGTGCATGTCAAGCAGGAAAGTAAACCAAATCCTCTCATCCAGCTCAACACATCATAAACACAAGTCACTGCTTGGAACTGATCCACATGGATCTCATTGGTCCAACTCAAACAGAAAGTGTTGGAGGTAAGAAATACATACTAGTTTGTGTAGATGATTATTCTCGTTTTTCTTGGGTTAACTTTCTCAGGGACAAGTCTGAGACCCTCGAAGCCTTCAAAACTCTGGCATTGAAACTTCAAAAAGAAAGAAATGAACCCATCATTCGAATCCGAAGTGATCACGGACGAGAATTCGACAACAATCTGTTCGATACCTTCTGCAACCAAACAGGAATCACACATGAATACTCATCACCGAAAACACCTCAACAAAACGGAGTTGTTGAACGGAAGAACCGCACAATTCAAGAAATGGGACAAGTTCTGCTCAATGCCAAAGGACTACCTCAAAAATTTTGGGCAGAAGATGTGAACACTGCATGTCACATCATCAATCGGGTCTATCTACGTCCAGGCACGAACCAGACTCCGTATACATTATGGAAAGGTAAGAAACCAAACATTAAATATTTTCATGTTTTCGGATCACGCTGTTTTATCTTGAAGGATCGAAACCCTGTCGCAAAGTTTGAATCAAAAAGCGATGAAGGCATCTTCCTCGGCTATTCAACGAACAGCAGGGCATATCGTGTATACAACAAAGTTACCAAAACCATCATGGAGTCCACAAATGTTGTAATCGATGATCAACCGAGCGATATTATCAAAACGTCTCCGTCTGGACCAGTGACAGAACTTGACACAAGTTGTCCTGAACCTAATCCAGAGTCTCCTATGCCATCTTCCACGTCAACTCAACCTGAGCAAGAAACTAAGTTTGAGTCTGAATCTGACAGTGTTCACGGTAACATTGATATCCCTACTCGCATCCAGAAAGGTCATCCAATACAAAACGTAATTGGAGACCCTAGTTCCGGCGTAAAAACCAGAGGTAAACCGAAACGTGATTATCTTCAATTAGCAGGATATTCTTGTTATACTTCGCAGATCGAACCAAAGAATATCAAAGAAGCTCTAACAGACGAACACTGGATCAAGGCCATGCAAGAAGAACTGGGGCAATTCGAACGAAATAAGGTATGGTCTCTAATTCCTAAACCCGACAATGTTAATGTTGTAGGTATCAAATGGATCTTTCGCAACAAAACCGATGCAGCTGGCAACATCGCTAGAAATAAATCACGGCTAGTAGCCCAAGGCTACTCCCAAATTGAAGGAATCGACTACGACGAAACATTTGCCCCTGTTGCACGGCTAGAGTCAATCCGACTCCTTCTATCGATTGCCTGTGCCCTAAAATTCAAGCTGTTTCAGATGGACGTTAAAACAGCCTTCTTAAACGGTTATCTCTCGGAAGATATATACGTTACTCAGCCTAAAGGGTTTGAAGATCCACATCATCCAGACTATGTCTACAAATTACAAAAAGCTCTTTATGGCTTAAAACAGGCCCCAAAAGCCTGATATGAGAGACTTACTCAATATCTTCTTCAGAACAACTACAAAAGAGGAGGATCAGACAAAACGTTATTTATAAAACGATCAGGTAAACACATAACAATTGCTCAAGTGTATGTAGATGATATTGTTTTTGGATCCACACAACCAGGAGAGACAGACCAGCTAGTCAAGGTAATGCAACAGGAGTTTGAAATGAGCATGATAGGTGAACTAACCTATTTTATTGGATTACAAGTGAGTCAAACTAAAGAAGGGATTTTTATTTCATAAGAAAAATATGCGAAAAATCTTCTATCCAAATTTGGGCTTGAATCTGCAAAAGATGCTCGTACTCCTATCTCTACGACTTCAAAATTGTTCAAAGATGAAAAAGGAACGTCTGTAGACTCTACTATGTACAGAAGTATGATAGGCAGTCTACTATACTTAACAGCCAGTGGACCAGATATTATGGTAAGTGTTGGGATGTGTGCACGCTATCAAGCCGATCCAAAAGAGTCACACTTAAAGGCGGTAAAGCGTATTATAAAATACGTTAAAGGTACGATAAATTATGGTATTTGGTACTCGAACGATACTAATCTGAATCTTGCAGGATACAGTGATGCTGACTGGGCAGGAAATGCTGACGACAGAAAAAGTACATCATGCGGATGTTTCTTTATCGGAAAAAATCTAGTCGCCTGGCTAAGTAAAAAGCATAACTCGATTTCACTCAGCACAGCTGAAGCTGAGTATATAGCGCGGGTAGTTGTTGTACACAATTACTCTAGATGCGTCAGATGTTAACTGACTATGGTATAAAACAACAAAGTATGACATTGTTCTGTGACAACACCAGCGCAATCAACATCTCTAAAAATCCATTCCAGCACTCCAGGACGAAACACATAGACATTCGACACCACTTTATTCGTGAACTAGTCGAAGAGAAAGAAATTATCTTGGAATACACTCCAACAGATAAAAATCTTGCAGATCTATTCACCAAGCCGTTAGACAAATCAAGATTTGAACTGCTTAGAGCTGCCCTTGGGGTTTGCAATCCCACAGCTTAATCTTCCACACCAGGTACAACAAATAATCTCTAATTAATTTTCTTTAACGTGGTTGTTGTTTATTTGTTGCAGGAAAATAAAATTCTAAACCTCTCCTACTTACTTTTAATTTTTCTCGCCCCTATACCTGCTTGTTTCCTTAACCGGCTCGGCTACCTTATATATCTATATAATAATTCCACCACTACATAATTAAAATGTGTATTGAAATATTAATTTCAAACAACTTCCACCACTCTCTCCTACTATGACTCTACTTCTACCCCTACAAACTTGTCACATCACTCATCCCATCCATCACAACTTTTGAGAAGCTCATTAATTAAAAAGTCTCCTTGTCTTTCTTAATCTTACATGCCAAACCCACATCCTTCCTCTTCATCCTTACCACGCTCAAACTTTACACCGTCAACAATGGAAGACGACAACCCCTTCGCCATTTTCACAACCAAATCCGAAAGATTGGAGCTTTTCCGCCACATCATCAACGCTGAATCTCCGCTTACATATGATGATACGGACCGAGTTCTCGCAACGATCAAGCACCATGCAAGCCTTCTTGAAGGACTCTCGGACAAGGAAATCAGACAGATCCAAGCTCTAGCTAGGTTCATATCAGTGGAGCCGTGGACTTTTCCGGTCGAATCAACCAAGCCACCTCCGCCACAATCAGAGTTCGTTCAGGTCTCATCCCCGGAAATTATGGTAGTATCTTCACCTTTAGATGAAACTGTTTCTGCTTCTAGAAAATTAAATTTCAACATCCCTTTGCCGAATCAGTTTGTGTCTGTCTCTAGTGATATGTGTGCCCCTTCCTTTCCTTTACAAGGTGATCCGTATGATTCTTCACATAAATTGCCTGAAAATCTTGTGCTATTATCTGATTTTGTGCATACTGTGACCACACCATTCTCCATTCGCAATATCAACCAATTTGTGTCTCCCATGACTTGTGCTGCTTTTTCTATCCCTATAACTATTTCAGTCCCATCTTCAACAGTAGAGGCTCCCATACCTGTATCCACCTCTCATGACACTGTCCCTATAGTCTCTGTGCCTGTGAGCAAATCTTCCCGAAAAGGGAAAGAAAAACTTACTGTTTCAGGTACAGCCGGGAAAAGAAAAATTGGAGCATTGGAGGATGTTATCTGCTTGTCTGATTCCAAGCAATCAAAAAGAGGGCCCAAAGTGCCACCCAGAATGACAAGGTCCAGATCAGTCTCAAGCCCAGTACCAAGTCCAGCCCCTGCACCAGCAGCTGTTACTGTTCCTTCTGGCTCAAAGATGAAACAACCCAAGAAGAAATACCACCCTATTTTACTGTCTCCGGCTTTGATGTCTGATTGGAGTGTTCATGCTACTAGAGATTTTATTCTGGAGAGATCCATCAATGTGGAAGAGTTGACAGAAAAATGCAACATTGTGCCTATCTTGCGAAATCAATGCCTGCTTGCCTCACATGTTCATGCTGGACCATATTCCACATGGCTCACTGCCGAGTTCTACACGAATTTAACTTTGGATACTTTTTCGGAGGGGTCACCTCGGTTTCAACAAGTTTTCATCCGGGATAAATGGTATCCCTTAAGTCCAGCCGTGATCAATTCCTATTTGGGTACTCCGAATCATCAAGCTGCCGCTGACCCGAGTCCTAATCTCCTAGCCGCTGCTTTAACTCACAACAAGGTTGTCACTTGGCCAAACACCGGACTCGAAAGCCTAAATCTCACCACGGTCTACTCTGTTCTTTTACGGCTTGCCTCAATAAATTGGATGCCGGCTGTTCGTCATCATCTTGTGTCTAACCAGCTTGCTGCCCTCCTCTACAAGATCAGGAACCGACTCCCTTTCAATCTTGGAGAAATCATCTTTGGCCATCTCGCTCAATTTGTGCGACATAGGGAACCTAAGGTACATCTTCCGTTTCCTAGTCTAATTTTCGGACTTCTACAGGAACATGGGTTCAAGCTCTACAAAGATGAGGTGGTGATTGCTAATGACTCAGTCTATAAATATGATGATCGTTTAACCCATAAGGATCACTATGATGATAGAGCTACGCTCATGATCACTCCCGACGCACCAACTGCCACGCCCTCTGTGTCTGCCCTTGCATCATCCGCTGACACTGCTTCAGCCCCAAATCCTCGTCCTACGGCAGTGTTCAAGGAACCTCAGACGCTCATGGATCACCGTCAAATTGTCATCACTCTTCAAGCGTCAATTGCTCAACTTCGCACATCGGTTGCTTCTCAACAAATAACCATTGATGGCTTAGAAAAGTTGTTGGGTGCTCAGTTGGAAGAAATAGCTAGAATAGAGGCCATCTATTCTCGGATTCGAACTAATACTGGCGCTGGCACTGGTTCTATTTCTGAGAGCGATGAATCTGAGTCGGGCACCCCGTCTGCAAGTTAATCCAATCCACTAGTATGATGTTCACCGGTTTGTTTGTCATTTATTTGGCAAAAATAAAAGGGGGAGTATTGGAGAAAGGGGGAGTATGGGAATGTTTGGAATGTTTGGATGTTTGGTAAGTTTTTTGGTTTTTGGTATACTTTGGTATGGATGTTAATCCTTGGTTCGGATGCTATTAATAATTTGGTATGACCATAAATATTTTTGGTATGACTATGAATGACTTAAGTATGAATGTCTTGGTATATTTGGTATGTTGACTGCATGGTATGAATCGGTTTTAATTGGAATGCATATGAAGAAAGGAAAACTCCAAGTTAGGGGGAGTAATTCAAATTACAGTGTGGAAAGCGTGACATATATGGTAAGTTTGATACAACACTATTTCGTGCATGATTCACTATTTATTAATTGGATGAAGTATGTGAGTCAACATCAACTAAGGTCCAAAATAAAATCCCACACACAAATAAGGTTTGGTTTGGTCTTAAGAGAATTTAATTTCACATTTGTTTTCTTTATATGTTCAGTACGTATACTATGGGATGTTAATAAAATATTCATTCCTTTTCCCAAAGTATAATGATATTATTGTTTTACCAAATAAATTGCCATATGGGGAGATTGTAAGTGTACAAAATAGTACACATTAGATTGGCTAATTTATTAGTTTATTTTATTAATTTGTAATGCTAATTAGTATGAGTCGTAATTAGTGTTATTGGACCAAGCTAAATGTGTGGTGGAGATTTCATTCTAATGAGTTGGACCAAGAGCAAGTCTGAAGATCTCAAATTAAAGAATGTGTGGTTGAGAAGAATTCAAGCCACATATGAAAGCTACAATCAAGGCTTGGTGAAATGGAAATTACGTACAGTATATAAGGAAGGGAAAACGAAAGAGGAAGTTGCCAATTCTGAAATTCTGATCACATATGCAAGCTTCCTATATTACTGCTTTAATATTGATTATATTATATTTGTGATTTAATTCTGTACTTCAAATCAGTACCTGTGACAGCTGAAGTGCTACACACCAAAGATGGTTATGGCATGCACGGTTCAGTCCTGAATAGGTGTTTTAGAAGAGTTGTAGTGGTAAAGGCTGTGAGCCGTTTGTAGTTACCTCTTGTAATACTCTGTGGTAAACATCTAGTGGATTGGGCAGACGTGGGTTGCCCCGCAGACGTAGGAGAAGGAGCTCCGAACTGCGTAACAATTCTACTGTGTCTTTACTTTATTTATGCTTTCAATTTCGTTATTTATACGTTGATTAAATTGATTTAATTAAACAGCGAAATTGTATCGCAACATAAAATCAAGTAGAATCCTTAGTGTTAAATTGATTTCAAGATACACGGGCTTTTTCAAAACATAAATCCATACATGTATGGCAGAGTTAACCGCTATACAAGGACTTTACCAGTATGCCCATGTAACACCCCGTGTTACGACCCCTAAAACCGATTAATCATTTAACCAATTGCCCAAAAGAAAGAATTAAATTACAATAATTAACTAGGAAAAGGCCCACCATAGTCTATGGGCCCTCACCCCTAAAACCCAACCCCTAGCCCTAAAAGGAATAGAATTAGCAAGCCTATAATATTAGTTCCTAATTAGGACTCCTAGATATATAAATAGGGGACTTAAGAGGCACCTAGAACCCCCCACCACAATAATCCCTCACCACACAAGAAGTTCCAAGAATTCCCCTAGGAGAAATCAAGAAAGAAGAAAGCTTCAAGAAAGACCCTTCATAGCCAAGGAATTAATTAAGGCCAAAAGGTAACCCATGTCTCAACAAAACCTATTTTCATAGCTATGATTCCCCTCTTAGGATTTCCCCCCCCCCCCCCCATATTCATGCGTGATTGACGATTCGTTATGTTGATCTTGATAATTGGCATTGTGATTCCATGGGTGATCTTGATGATCTTGAGAGGTTCTTGATGATTATATGATGTTCTTGATGATTATATGATGTTCTTGATAATTGTATGATGTTCTTGATGTTTACGTGATATTCCTACCGAATCCTGACATTAAAGGATGAATTGGGTTCTTGTTAATTTAAAAGTGATTAGGACCCTAGGTTGTATCGTGAAATTCGTGTGGTATTATTCTTGGTGTATTGGGTGGGAATTCACACGTTTGGGTGTTAATTATGTTTAGAAAAGCATGATAGGTTTGGTGCCGTATGTTTCTTGATTTTGATCCGTTAATTGTCTACGTGTGTTATCAATTGCGTTTGAAAGTGTCTAAGTATGGTTTCGGGTTCCACAAAGGTTCCCGGGGCGTTTTTGGTGAAAAAGAGTCAGTGGGGGGTAGGTGGGGGTAGGGGACCCGCCACCTACCCGCGGCCTATTTGGGCAACGCCGGCAGCGGGCAGCCGGCGGGCGGGCAGCTGCCCGCCGGGCACCCGCTGCCCGGAGTCACGCCACCGGCGGGCAGCCGGCGGGTGAACCCTCACCCACCCGGCTACCCGCTGGAAAATACCCTACCTCGGGTTTCCGGCTTCCCCGTTTGATGTTCCCCCGACCCTCGTGACGTCCCAACGGACTCCGTCCATCGTGCCTATGTCTACTTTGATGTTCGGGTACCATTCGTAGGTTGAATAAGTCTTGTATATTGCATGCTAGTTGGATTGGTATTCCGTTGGCCTAGGTGTAAGGAGTATGAACCCCTTAGGAGTATTCTTAGCATGTGGATGATCACGCATAGGTTTCGTTATACGATTTCTCCCCCTTCCCAATGTGTTAATGTGGGTTGCATGTGCTTGCTATGTGTTATGTGTGCATGATACCCCAATTTGGTTGCGATCAAATTGGTTATACGGGCAGTTGGATGGGTTGAGAACCATACTGACTGTTAACCAGGCCGGTTGCGATCGGTCAGGTATATAAATATTATATAGGGTTGCGGTCCACCGTTTGGTTGCGATCAAACGTTCTACATGAGCTGCGGTTCATTTTCCTGGCTGCGGTCAGATGACATACTCTTGGGCTGCGGTCCACTGTTTGGTTGCGATCAAACTATGATGAGCTGCGGTTCATCGGTCGGTTGCGATCGACCCCTCCGTGTTGCGATACGGGGCAGGGTGCTGCAGGGCCGTGTCAGAGCTATATGCGCTGACCCTCATGTATGGGCATGCGATTGGTCCTGTGGCGCCAACAAAGTGTGCTACGTGATGTGATCAGGAGGATTGATGTTATGACTGTTATGAAAACGTGACCATAGGATACATGCTAGTAAACTGCGTATGCTTGCTTATGATTATTGGTTGTGCTTATCTATCGTATGCTTGTAAATTGTCTACGCTTGGTTATGTCTGTTAGTTGTGGTTACCCCTATCTGTTGAGTCTATTCCCTGATTTGAAAGATAGAGTCTCTCAGGTTACATCTTCATGCTTCGAAATGATTTTTCGTATATCTATATATATATCTATATGTATTGTATTTCAACGCGTTGGAGTGGGTTACCAGCATCTCTCGCTGAACAGATATATTTGGCATTCAGGCACAGAAGAGTAAACACTGGAGCGCGCTAGAATCGTGGAGCATAGAAGTAGATAGTTTCCCTTTCGGCCTGCGTGCCATGTTATGCATTCTCTTTACTAAGGATATTAGTTAGTTAGCCTGTGCATCTGAGTTCTCCAGCTCAGGTGTGACATAGCACCCCGTACTCTTTGTATCGTATTTTGGGATTTAATGAGATTCTACCTTTATTATATAAGTTTTAAAAGTCTTGAAAATCTGGGGTGTTACAGCCCATCCTTCCAGCATGGCCAATGAAGGTCATGGGCGCCAATCCTTTAGTCAACGGATCCGTGATCATAAGATTGGTGCCAATTTTCACTATTGATACTCTTAAATTTCAAATCCATGTGCTTGGCACCACTAGTATATCTGTCGTTCTTTGAGAAGAGCACAGTTGCCATATTATCACAATGAATCCTCAATGGTTTGGCTATAGTGTCGACAATGCCCAAACTATAAATAAAATTACGCAGCCATGATGATTGAATTATAGCCTCAAAGCATGCTAAAAATTCTGCCTTTATAATGGAAGTAGCAATGACAGGCCTTCACACTCATCCAAGATATTGCTCCATGAGCAAGTGGAAAATATATATCCGAATGTGGATTTTCGGGTATCCAAACATCCGGCATAGTCTGAATGCGAATAACCTATAACCTTCAGGTTATTTAATTCGTTCTTTTTTATAGGTGAGCATGTGGTCTTTAGTGCCTTGTAAGTATCACTGGACCCTCTTTGCAGTTTTCCAGTTTATATCTTTCTAAAACTTTGTTAATGTGAGTCTTCTAGAATGAACCTAAAATCTCATGTGATCTATCACATAATATTTCTTATTCCAATCACATATGAAGTCTCACCCATATCCTTCATTTCAAAGTTCTTAGAAAGATATTCCTTAACATCACGCAACATCCCTTTATTATTAGCAACTAGAAGAATGTCGTCAACATGTAATACTAGGATTACAAACTTGCTTCCATTAAACCTTTATGTAGATACACCAATCAACAGTGATCTCTACAAAACCAAATGACAATTTCAAGTACCATTGTTTAGAAGCATGTTTTAATCCATAGATCGACTTCTTCAATCTACATACCAAATTTTCCTTTCCTGTGGCCATGAAGCCTTGTGGCTAATCCATGATTCCATGTATACTTCCTCTTTTAATTTATCATTCAGAAAGGAAATTTTAACAACCATTTGGCGGAGCTCAATAACAGAATGAGCCACCAAAGCCAAAATAGTTCTCAAGGAGAATTATTATCATGTATGGCTTGTTTAAATGAGACTGGATAATTATCAATGCTTAAGTCACTTTAATGCTCAATTGCATAAACAATATAGTCATCAGGAATGGATGATTTTTTATATCCAGTAGATCTCCTTAATGCCACTTCCTGCTGAGATTGCACTTGATCATCATCTTGAGTTTCAACCTCATCTTCATTTACAACAGCTTCCTCATGTGGAATTGGAGCATCTAATTGATGTTGTTCCAAAGTATTTCCATAAGGCTACACTGTAGCAATAGGAACAACAACAATCCTCGTACTTATGATTAGGACAATAAACATGTACCCTTTAGACCTTTCTGGATATCCAATGAAATAACCACTAATGGTTCTGGATTCCAATTTATTTTCATGTGGATTATATATCCTCACTCTAGCTTGACAGCCCCAAATGTAAAGATGCCTCAAACTAGGTTTCCTTCTTGTCCAAGGTGTTTTTTTTTTTTTTTTTTTTTTAAACAACCTTACTAGGAACCCTATTGAGTAAGTATGTTGTTGTCTTTAATGCATATATCTACAATGAAACAAGCAATATACAATTATTGACCTTACTCCTAACCATTTCTCTTAGAGTACGATTTCACCTTTCTTCCACACCATTTTGATGTGGTGTGCCTAGCATTGTGTATTATGCACAAATGCCCTTAGATTCGAGGAATTTCTTTAAATGGGCCGGGAAATTGCCCAACTTTTGATGTTTTCCCATAATACTCATCACCTTTATATGATCTAATTGTCTTTACCTTTATATTTAACTGACTCTCAACTTCAAATATGAATGTCTCTAAGACATCCACAGACTGAGATCTTTCACGCAGTAAATAGATGTAACAGTACCCAGAATGATCATCAATGAAGGTAATAAAGTATTTATCACCGCTCCAAGACAGAACATCAAAAAAAGACCACAGATACCTGTATGTATTAAATCAAGTAATCATGAGCTTCTTGTGGCTGAGTGTACTGATACATGCCTGACTTGCTTTACCTTTATGCAATCGACACATGTACAATTCCAGTCAGTAAAATCCAATTGAGACAAAATTCAAACTTTAATAAGTCTCAATATCCTTTCTTTGGATATATGATTAAGCCTTTTATGCCACAAGTCAGTTGAAGATTATTTTGGTGCACTCCTTTTAACACAAACATCACATTAAACAAGGATTTAACAAAGTCATCATTAAGATTGAAACAGTATAGTGTATCCAACAAAACACTAGAACCATAAAGGTTTTTGTTGATACAAACATTTGTCTCCAATCTTAAAGTAAAAAACCCAATGTTTCCAACCTAGCTGTTGAAACAAGATTTCTAGAACAATTTGGAACATACAGACAATTCTCAAGATCAAGACAAAAACCTGTATCCAGCTTAATTCTGTAAGTTCCAATACCTTCAATTCTAGCTTTCATCATGTTTCCCATGAAAAGACACTTTTCATTTTCCCTATGAGGTTGAAACATCAAAAATCTTGCTTAATGTTATAAACATGTGTTGTAACTGCACCAGTGTCTAACCACCAAGTATTAGAAGGAACCTTAACAAGATTGGATTCAAAGCATACTAAAACTGAATGTATACTTTTATTTCCATCCAAGCTTTCATCTTCAGGCATTCAGCCTTCATGTGCCTAGGTTTGTTACAGAAATAGCATTTCTGCACTTTCTGAACATCACCTTGCACCTTCATAGGATGCTTGCCCTTCTTTACTACTTTTAGATTTGCTGCTTTTATCACTGACATCAGAACTGTCACCGTTATAGCGTGATATAATAGTGTTTATTGCAAACATTTATCTCACATATCAATTGCTTGGAGTAACAAACCTTTATTCAAACTATAATTTATAGACCTTAAGTTTGCATTTAAATCTGCCTTTGGGTCAAATTTAAATACAATGTCAATTTACCGACATGCATCATTCACGCATACTTGAATGAGGCTATTCATCAAGTTTCAATTTAATATATAGGCCATCTTTGGACATACACTACATATTAACAAAACAAGAATCATAATCTCCTAAACTGTCATTAATCACATGTCTGATCTACCTTTGGGCAACCGCTAGAACCATGTGTTAATGATCACAAATGTTTATCAATCCTTTAGTGTCATTCAATGATGCAAAATACCTGTGTACAAATGTACGATAAACATTTGTAAACATAAATAATTATTTAGCTATTTCCTTGAGTGTGCCACTTTGGTGACTAACGCACTCGCCTTATGCTAATAATATATTTATGTGAATAAACTTTAATTTATGTTGTAACATAAACATAAATGATTATTTAGCTATTACCATGAGTGGCCGCTTTGGCGACTAACACACTCGCCTTATGCTAATAACTCATTTATGTAAGTAAACTTTAATTTATGTTGTAACATAAACATAAATGTTTATTTAGCTATTACCATGAGTGGGCCGCTTTGGCGACTAACACACTCGCCTTATGCTAATAATCATATATATATATATATATATATATATATATATATATATATATATATATATTAATAATGGATATAACCTCCAACCATAATTGATCCCAAATGGTTCTATAATTTAAAGCAAGTCCTTAATGCCTTAAATAAACCAAACAAACCCAAATAGATGCCCAAATTAAATAAGCCTAGAATTTAAAGCGTGTTCATAATGTCATAAGTAACCCAAATAGGCTCAATTTAATTTTTCCAACAAAATAATCCATCAACAAGATCACCTGAAGTCGTGATGCACCCACTGTCCGCTGCCTCTTTGCCTTGTTTCTAGCATCGCTCCACCGAGAAGCCAACTATACCGTTATTGCCGTATCTCTCCGTTGTCCACCGATTGACGGTGATTTGATTCCATTGATTACACACACACACACACACACACACACACACACACACACACACACACACACATATATATATATATATACATATACATACATACATATTCACAGTATAAAATCCGGATATATCCATGTATACGAAAAATAGCAAAAGCACAGTATATGTAATGCATATTCAACTAGCTAGGCGGAGATCAATTAAGGGCTTTGATTCCATTTGATTCAAGATTTGATTCCAAATCAACAATTATATTCATATAAGCAGTACGTACAGTACATAATTGATTCCAAAAAAAAAAAAAAAAAAAACAATCAAACATGCCAATCAATCTTAATATATGTATGAACAGCGTACATATTGTTGATGGCATATGAAATCAAATGTTAACTGAACCATAAATTACGACAGTGACAAATGGATTCCAATTAACAAACCCATAATAAATTAAACCTTATAATTAAAAATCTCCAAATATCATGAACCCTAATTTTAGTGACTAATCAATTTACAAGCAGGCTCTGATACCAAATGTTAAATAATTCTTTATGCGCTATAACTTGAATGCGGAAACACAATTAACAATGATCACATGTAAATCCAATCAATCAACTAAACAATGTTCATGATGATGGATTTTTAATTAAATAGAAAAGATAGAACTTACTTGGTTCCATTGAAGATGTAATCTCTAAATTGAATGAATCAAGAATATAATGCTTCACCTCTCTGATCCGTATACCTTAATCACCTCCTGATAATACGGAGACTAGAAAACTTAGAGATTTGAAACCGTTAAGATACCTAGAGTTTTCCTGGGTATTTATAGATGTGATGAGAAACCCTCTTTCAAGAGGAATGGGGAACCTCCTTTAGGAATAGAAATCCCTTTAGGAATGTGACCTCCATTTAAGAATATAAATCCCTTTAGGAATGTGAAACTCATAACCTTATCCATTTTACATCTTTTAACCCTTATAAACTTAAATTTTAACAGAATGAGAGGGAGGGAATTTCACCTAGTAATTCCTCCTTTACACATCACTAATCATCAACGTGGGTACCTTATGGAATTACAACCTTTATTATATAAATCATTGTTAGGAAATAATTATTTCTAACAACCTTAAGTACACAAATCACCACGTACATTAAGCACACAAACAAAGCACCTTAAGAACACAAATCACTCACCTTAAGTACATAAACCACGTATTTTAAGCACAAAACAAAGCACATTAAACACAAAATCCACGCACCTAAGATTTTAAAATGGTTTACATTAAGTACCAACTCACTCACATTAAACACAAAACACACGCACATTAAGCACAAGTCTCACGCACATTAAGCACAAAACACATGCATTATAAGTTTTACCAACTGCTGACATTAAACACAAAACTCACGCACATTAAACACAAAACACACGCACGTTAAGCACACAAATCTCACACACCTTAAGCACAAAACACACGCATTTTAAGTTTTAACAACTACTCACATTAAGCACAAGTTCACGCACATTAAGCACAAAACACAAGCACACTAAGCACAAATCTCACGCACATTAAGCACAAAACTTACGCACCTTAAATTTGACTTTTTTCTGTTTGGATCATGGGATCCTCCTTATCTTGTAGCCAAGGATGCTTCCACACAGAGGTAGAATTTCCATTCCCAATTCTTCTTCTCACACCACTACAGACAAGGCTTTTTGCCGCCATAATACTCCGCCAACAATGACTGGGATTATTCCCCAGGTCCGCTTCCATAAACAAAGTTCTAGGATATAGTATCTTGCCTTATAAACTTTTGAGACCAATGATTCCGTGTTGGTGAGCAATCTCCATGCTTGTTTACCCAATAATGCCACATTAAAAGCTTTAAGATCTTTAAAACCCAGTCCACCATACTTCTTAGGGAGACATAACGTATCCCAAGCTTTCCAATGTATCTTCTTATCAGTCCCAGAACCCCACCAATACCGATTCATAAGACGCTCAATGGCAGCACAGACAGATACTGGCAATAAAAAGACACTCATTGAGAAAGTAGGCATAGCTTGGGCCACATTTTTCAATAAGATCTCTTTACCTGCCTGTGATAATAATTTCTTATTCCAAGATCCTATTCTCTGTCGGATCTTATCCTCAATATAAGCAAAAGCTGCTTTCTTGTTTCTCCCAATAAATGATGGTAAACCAAGATATTTTCCAAAGTTAGGAGCCTGCATTACTTCCAAAACATGCGCCACATTATTCCTTTCCTCATTAACCGTATTCCTGTTAAAACAAATACTTGACTTCTGAAAATTGACAACTTGTCCCGACAATTCTTCATATAATGATAGACAATTCTTAATCTCAATAGCCTCCTGAACAGTTGCTTTAAAAAATAGTAAACTATCATCAGCAAAGAAAAGATGTGAAACAGCAGGGGTACCTCGTGCTACCCTACATCCATGTATATGGCCCCTATCTTGTGCTTTCTGCAATAATAATGAGAGACCTTCCACACAAATGATAAACAGAAAGGGAGACAGCGGATCACCTTGCCGTAATCCTCTGGTTGGTATAATTGCATCACTCCTCGTTCCATTCACTAAAAAGTTGTACGACACAGTAGAGACACACATCATAATAAGATCAATCCACTTCTCATGGAAACCCAGCGCCACAAGCATACCTTTCAAGAAAGGCCATTCCATACAATCATAGGCTTTGGCCATATCCAATTTCAGAGCACTCCAACCCACTACTCCACACTGTTTCCTGTTTAAATAGTGCCCTATTTCCGAGGCAACCAAGATATTATCCGTAATCAACCTACCAGATATGAATGCACTTTGTGACTCGGATATAATACCATCCATCAGGGGTTTCATTCTCTGTGTGATCATCTTAGCCATAACTCTATATATTACATTACTGAGCGCAATCGGTCGAAGATCAGAAACCAACTCTGGGGCATCTTTCTTTGGAATTAGCACCACATCAGTGTCATTAAGTCCAGGGGGGAATGAGCATGTATTCAAACAATTAACAACAAAATTCGAGACATCCCCACCTACAATATCCCAAAAATTCTGATAAAAACCTGGATTCATTCCATCCGGGCCAGGTGCCTTATCAGGAAACATTGAAAAAAGGGCAGATTTTACTTCTTCCACTTCAAATGGCCGAGTTAACCATTCATTCCGTGATTGAGTGATTCGTGGCGTAACATTATCAAAAATAAGGCTTCCATTCGTTGGATTATTTGTCGCAAAGATTTGCTTAAAATAATCCAACACTACACCTATCATATCATCTCCTTCCACCCACTCCCCATCACCATTCATAAGTGTATGTAAAGTATTTTTCCTTTTTCGATGAGAGGCGTACCTGTGATAGAATTTGGTGTTCGCATCTGCATTCTTGAGCCAATGTTGCTTGGCCCTCTGCCTCCAGTATACGTCCTCCTGAATCTCTAGTCGAGCCAAGGACTCCTCCAGCCGATTGTATTCAGCTAGGGAAGTTGGATCAGTACATCCCCGCAATCGCTCCTGTCCCCTACGAAGTAGCTGAATTTTCTCTCCAAACTTGTGATACCGGTCTCCACCCCATTGGGATAGGCGATTCCCACAATGTTTAATGCAATTTTGCGTGCCACCACCCCTTCCTTCCTCCCATGACTCTGCCACTACTGCCCTGCACCCCTCATCATGCAGCCATGCCATTTCAAAACGAAATCTCTTCGTTCTCCCCCTCCTGGTCCCATAATGTCGGATAGCCATAAATATTGCGGAGTGATCCGATTTCCTTGTTATTAAATTAGTCACTGAGGCTCCATTTACAATATCCCTCCATCGATCAGTAGCCAATACTTTATCCAGTTTCTCCTCAATCCA